AGTAGGGGGTGTGCAAGAGGCAGCTGATGGATGACTCTCTCTCATTGATGTTTCTAACTCTCTATCTCTCTCCCTTCCTCTCTGTACAAAATCAATAAAATATATTAAATAAATTAAAAAAAAAGAGTGAGAGTTGAACCTGTCACTTTGAAGGAACCGGCTTCCTCTGAAGGCTCTTGGCCTGGGAGACCTCCATGACCACGGGGCGAGGAAGAGCAAGGAGGCTTGGCATCAGATCGCCACCTCTATTCAAGCCACGTGACCTTGACAGGTGACGTAGGCTCTCTGAGCCCCCGTTTCCCCAGGTTTCAAACAAGGAATTCGATCCCCACGTCATGAAGTCATAGGGGGACTTCTCCCAGCTCTGGCAGGGGAAGCATGGATGCCGACCCATTTGGCTCCTTGTGATTGGCAGGTGGCCTCATTAGCTGTGAAGAGGCCAGAGGCTGTGCCAATATCCACCATTTCAGCAAAACAGCAAAAGGCAGATGAAACTGGTTTGGCTCAGTGGATAGAGCGTCAGCCTGCGGACTGAAAGGTCCCAAGTTCGATTCCGGTCAAGGGCATGTACCTTGGTCGTGGGCACATCCCCAGTGGGAGGTGTGCAAGAGGCAGCTGATTGATGATTCTCTCTCATCGATGTTTCTAACTCTCTATCCCTCTCCCTTCCTCTCTGTAAAAAGTCAATAAAATATATTTTAAAAATATTTTATAAAACAAAACAAAACAAACAAAAACAGCAAAAGGCAAAAGCTTGCGCGTCAGACAGGAGAAGCTCGGTGTCTGCAGTCCCTGTGCCTTTATCAGAGTTTCTCCACTTCTCTCCTCTGTTGGAAAAGGCAAATATGTGTCCACCCGGTACCTGGTCCCTGCAGGTTTACAAATGGGCGTAACAGGCGGACGTCAGCACAGACAGATGCTGAAGGACGAGCCAGTCCCTCCCCTTCTCATGAAGCTTGGTCTCCGGGATGGTCTGTGCCTCCTCTGGAGTTGCCCTGGGGGAGGGGGGGCACTAGAACACCTGCCTCTTTATTGGTTCTCACTCTCACACCCTCTTCTCTCTCATAAAGCGCTCTTTCCTCTTCTGCTCGCCCAGATCCCTGTCCTTTCCACCTACTGGCAGGCCACAGCCATGATGTTTGGCCATTCTGACCTTACCTACCCAGGAGGCTCAACTGGCTTTCCCTCCCTCCCTCCCTCCCTCCCTCCCTCCCTCCCTTCCTCCCTCCCTCCCTCCCTCCCTTCATTCTTTCCTTCCTTCCTTCCCTCCTCCTTCCCTCCTTCCTTCCCTCCCTCCCTCCCTCCCTCCCTTCCCTCCTCCCTCCCTTTTTTCCCTCCCTCCCTCCCTTCCCTCCCTCCCTCCCTTTTTCCCCTCCTCCCTCCCTCCCTTCCTTCCCTCCCTCCCTCCCTCCCCTCCCTTCTTCCTTCCTTCCTTCCTTCCTTCCCTCCTTCCTTCCATTTTAAAAATCCTCACCCCAAGATACATTTCCATTGCTTGAGAGAGAGAGAGAAAGAGAGAGAGAGAGAGAGAGAGAGAGAGAGAGAGAGAGAGAGAGAGAGAGAGAGGGAGAGAGAGAGAGAGAGAGATTGGTTGCCTCCGGTACCTGCCCAATTGGGGATCATACCTGTAATCTAGGAGGATATGCTTAACCAACTGAGGCACTGGCCAGGGTATGCTTAACCTCCTGACTAGGAGGGAAGGTGTGTAAACCAACTGAGCCACTGGCCAGAATGGACTTTAATTAAAAAACAAACAAACAAACAAACAAACAAAAAACAAAACACACAAACAATTAAGAGAGTAAACGAGATGAGGTGGGTAGGAAAGCATGAAGCCAGAGCGACGGTCCTCAGACTGGAGCACCCACTGGGCTCACCTGGGCGCATGTCACAGCCCAGGCCTCGGGCCCCTTCCCCAGAGCTTCAGGGCCGGGAGCAGGGCCCCAGGATCCGCCTTTCCAACACGCTTGCGGGTGAGGGGGACAGAGCTGGCCTGGGACCAGCTTCCGAGCGGGATGTTCCTGGTGTGAGTGTGTGAGTGTGAGTGTGTGTGTGTGTGTCTGTGTGTGTCTGTGTGTGTCTGTGTGTGTGTCTGTGTGTGTGTGTCTGTGTGTGTCTGTGTGTGTGTCTGTGTGTGTGTGTCTGTGTGTGTCTGTGTGTGTGTCTGTGTGTGTGTGTCTGTCTGTGTGTGTGTGTGTGTCTGTGTGTGTCTGTGTGTGTGTCTGTGTGTGTGTGTCTGTGTGTGTCTGTGTGTGTCTGTGTGTGTGTCTGTGTGTGTGTGTTTGTGTGTGTGTGTCTGTGTGTGTCTGTGTGTGTCTCTCTGTGTGTGTGTCTGTGTGTGTGTGTGCACGAGGGCGCCCCGAGGTTCAGGCAGGGCACAAAGCGTTCTGGAGTGAGCCCGCGTGTGCCCAGAGCAGCCCGCGTAGGATGGGCGGGCGTCGGAGACCATAAAGCCGGAGGCAGCCTGTGCTGGGGCAGCCACGGCCGGCGGATGGGGTGATGAGGAAGTTGGCAGGCTGGATGTCCCTGGTGCTCTGTGTGTGCCGGCTGACAGCAGGTGAGAGGGCAGGGGCAGGGAGGAGAGGAACCGAGGAGGCAGTGGTTTGGGGTGGAATGGGCAGGAAACAGAATCTATCCATTGTCCCTAATATCTTCTATTTTATTTATTTATTTATTCTTTTAAAATATATTTTATTGATTTTTTTACAGAGTGGAAGGGAGAGGGAGAGAGAGCCAGAAACATCGACGGGAGGGAAACATCAACCTCCTGCACCCCCCCAACTGGGGATGTGCCCTCAACCAAGGAACATGCCCTTGACCGGAATCGAACCCGGGACCCTTCAGTCCGCAGGCTGATGCTCTATCCACTGAGCCAAACCGGTTTCGGCTTATTTATTTATTCTTGTTGTCAATCCTTACCTTACCTGAGGATATATTTTTATTGAGAGAGAGGGAGAGAGAGAGAGAGAGAGAGAGAGAGAGAGAGAGAGAGAGAGAGAGAGAGAGAGAAACGTCGATGTGAAAGAGAAACATGAATCCATTGCTTCTCAAATGAGCTCCAATCCAGGATGGAACCTGAACCCTAGGCATGTGCCCTGACTGGGACTTGAACCTGAACCCCTTGGGGTGCATGGTACCACTCTCCTCCCAACTGAGCCAGGCCCAGGGGTGCCCCATGCCTTTGAAATGCAGCAGCATGCGTGGTGCAGAGGGGAGGATCCTGAGTCCAAATCCCTGCTCTTCCCCTTGCTGGTTGGGTGCTCACGGGCGAGTCACTCAGCCTCTCCTTGGCCTCTGCTTTCCCATCCAGAGGATGGTACGCGCGGTAACCAAGAGGGAGCTTATAAACACGGCCCTCAGCGTGGACAGACCCGGGGGCGTTTACGGCGAGTGACATCGGCCAGGCACAGAGGGACACACACTGCCTGCCTGACTCCACTTCTCCGAAGGATCTGAAATAGACTCACAGGCACCGAGAGCAGAACAGCGATCGCCCGGGGCTGGGAGAAGGCAGATGGGGAATTCGTTGTTCAAGGAAAACAGAGTTTCAGCCACGCAGGAGGAGTAAGTCCCAGTGGCCTGCTGCGCAGCACCCGGGGCCTGGAGTCAGCGATGCCGCCCTGGGCATGCAAACGCTCCGTAAGAAGGCAGAGCTTGCCCTTGTCTGCGGACCTAAAGGTCCCAGGTTCGATTCCGGTCAAGGGCAGGCACCTTGGTTGCGGGCACATCCCCAATAGGGGTTGTGCAGGAGGCATCCGATCAACGATACTCTCTCATCGATGTTTCGAACTCTCTATTTACTCTCTGTAAAAGTCAATGAAATAAATATATTTTAAAAAGAAGGCAGAGCCGAAACCGGTTTGGCTCACTGCAGTGTTTCCCAAACTTTTGACATATGTGTACCCCTTCTGTAATTTTCGTAACGCTGAGTACCCCTCGTCCTCATGAGAACGTAGAATTAGGCGCAGCTAAGCCCGGTGCAGTGCACATCCCCACCAAACGCTGGTGCAACGCGTACCCCCACCAAACTCTTCCCGTACCCCTGGGGGTACGCGGACCGCACTTTGGGAAACACTGGCTCAGGGGACAGAGCGTCGGCCTGCCGACTGAAAGGTCCCCGGTTCGATTCCGGTCAAGGGCATGTACCTTGGTTGCGGGCACATCCCCGGTAGGGGGTGTGCAGGAGGCAGCTGGTCGATGTTTCCCTCTCATTGATGTTTCTAGCTCTCTAACCCTCTCCCTTCCTCTCAGTAAAAAAAAAAAAAATCAATAAAATGTGTTTTAAAAAAAAGGCTCAGAATGGAGTATTTAGGAGATGGTCTACATTTTACCCTTTTTTTTTTCTCTTTCAGAATTCAATTCCTATTTATACCCTTCAACTCCAGGTGGGGATGCATTGCTTTATTTGTTAGCATCTGAACTGTTAGCGCCCTCCCCTCCCCCACCCCACCCCACCCCCACCTCCACCCCCACCCCCACCCCCACACATATACCCGAGCCTATAAAACTGTTTCAATCAGCAATTACATGTTTGGGGGTTTGGCCCACATGGCCTAGAGCCGTGGTCGGCAAACTGCGGCTCGCGAGCCACATGCAGCTCTTTGGCCGGTGGAGTGTGGCTCTTCCACAAAATACCACGTGCCCTAATTAAGTTCATAACAATGTGCCTACCTATATATTGTAGTTTAAGTTTAAAAGAAAGTGGCTCTCCAAAGAAATGTACTGTTGCTATTTGACTCTGTCGACGAATGAGTTTGCCGACCACGGGCCTAGAGCAGACGGTGGGGAAACTTGGCCCTTCGGCTCTCTTGCTTTTGGCGTCAGAGGGTAGCTATTTTCAGAGCAGTGGGCAGCAGGGTTGCTCTGTGCACAGGGCACACAGGCTGGGGACCAACGTGGACCTGGGGAGGAGCCCAGTGACAGCACCCAAGTCACTGGACCGAAGTGAGGAAAGCAGTAAATGCTGGCCTTGGTAAATCACTCACAGCACTATGTCCAGCATGGGTAAGCTGTAAAATAGCTTCTTATATGAATAACTAACTAGTGGCCCGGTGCACGAAATTCATGCATGGAGGGGGGCGCGTTTCTCAGCCCGGCCTGCACCCTCTCCAATCTGGGACCCTCTCGCAATCCGGGACCGCTGCCTCCTAACTGCTCACCTGCCTGCCTGTCTTATCACACCTAACCACTCTGCTTGCCAGCCTGCTTGCCCCCAACTGCTCCCCCCGCCCCACACACACACTGGCCTGATCGCCCCCAACTGCACCCCCCACACTGGCCTGATTGTCTCCAATTGCCCCCCTTGCTGGCCTGCTTGCCCTCAACTGTCCCTTCCCCCAGCATGCTATGCCCCAACTGCTTTCCCCCTATCTGCCTACTCACCCCCAACTACCCCCTCCCTCCCGCTGGCCTCCTCGTCCCCAACTGCCACTCCCTGCCAGCCTGCTTGCCCCCAACTTCCCCTCCCCGCTGCCTGCCTGTTGGTCCCCAACTGCCTCCCCCTGCCAGTCTGGTCACTCCTAACTGCCTCTGCCCCAGCCCGGCCACCATAGCTTTGTCTGGAAAGACACCTGGATTAGCATATTACCCTTTTATTGGTATAGGTAGTTCATTAATCATGACCATAGTAATAACTAACGATAATAAAATTGTTACAATACTCCTAATACAAGCCTAAGCGGCCGTTGAGGGCAGAATGACCGGTTGCGATGACACACACTGACCAGCAGGGGGCAGATGCTCAAGGCAGGAGCTGCCCCCTGGTGGTCAGTGCGCTCCCACAGGGGGAGCACCGCTCAGCCGGAAGCCGGGCTCATGGCTGATGAGCGCAGCAGGAGTGGCGAGTCTCTCCCGCCTTCGGGGCAACACTACGGTGAAGAGTGAGATTTCGAGAGGGATGTCCGACTGCTGGCTTAGGCCTGATCCCCAGGGTTATCAGGCCTAAGCTGGCAAGCTGCCATCCTCCTAGGGGTCCTCCTGCGAGAGGGCACAGGCTGTGCTGAAGGAAGCCCCACCCCCACCCCCCCCCCCCCCCCCCCCCCCGCCTTCCAGTACACAAATTTTGCACATTGGACCTCCCTGGTTTTAAATATTAAATGATAAACATAACAATATAGTTATAAAACAATGAACGTTCTGACGTAATTGTTAAAATAATAATGTAATTAATAGTAAATATAGATAATGTATACTGATAATAAATAATTGTTAAGTGGTTAAAAAAAATGAATGAATCTTGCATCAACATTATTTCAGGCTTATTATGAAAGACCAACCAATATTTATTAAGTTTCTATTCTGTGCCAGTTCCTATTGGTTGATAAATACGGGTGTAGCTTTGAACAGGAAACCTGTGGTCATTCCTGACAGATGAGAACGACTCTGAACAGGTCACTACCTGTCAGATAAATGGGGGGAAAAAGGGAACCAATATGCAAATTCAGGACAAGCGGTCTAGCATAGTGTGGATGTTCAAGGGAGTTTCATGGAGACTCACCTATAGGCTGCATGGGAGCAGGAAAGGGGCGTGGCCTTCCCAGCTCACAGAGACGGTCACAGGTGGTCAAGGGGAGGCTGGCGGAGTCTGGGGAACAGATCCAGAGGGGATCATGGCTATCTCAGTGCCAATGCTAGTCTTTAGAGGAATAAGCCAGTGGCAGGGCCGGGTGAGTGTTTAAGAAAGAACAATCTCGACAAAAGATCCAGTGGCCCAGAAAGAAGCTCATACAGACGGATGCATGTGCCTTTCAGCATAAAGATGATTGCTTGCCTCATTTTCGGTTCTTATAAGTATATTTCCAGTAGGACATGATCTCACTCATCGAGGGGAAATGGTGAACAACATAGACGGATGGACAAGAACAGACCCAGAGATAAGGAGCCATGGGTCAGACGGCTGGACCTCAGAGGGAGGGTGGGGATAGAAGGGAGAGATCAACCAGAGGACTTGTGTGCACACATAGGAGCCTAACCAGTGGTCGAGGACAATGGGGGGTGGGGGTATGAGTGGGGGATTGGAATGGGGGGGTTGAGGACAACTATGTGATATCTTAATCAATAAAGATTTTTTTTTTTTTTTTAAAGAAAGAACATTCTCGGGAAGAATGATGGGACAAAAGGTTGAAAGTATCCAGGAATAACTTTTTTATTTTTTTATTTTTTTTCCTCATTTTTTAAATTAAGGTATTATATGTGTACATACCTTACCAATCTCCACCCCACCCCCAACTCCCATACATGCCCTCCCTCCCCAGAGTTTTTCATCCATTGGTTGTGCTTATACGCATGCATACAAGTCCTTCGGTTGATCTCTTAAGGAATAGCTCGTTGCCGTGGTGACAAAGCTCGCCAGTGACTCGTGGTGTGGAGGGCGGCGAGTCGCTCGGCGCCGGGGCCGGAAGCTGCGGGGATCTCCCTTTTCCATGTCCTTCGTGGGAAGAGAGATGAACGAACCGGCTCTGAGTGGAGGTGCCCAGGGATTGAGAAATATTAGAAATAAAGAGAGAAGACATAGAAATAGATTTTTCAAGCTGGGAGCTGGGAGGGCCGCTGACCTCCTCTGCTGGAGAGACAGACTGACCACCTCCTAAGCCACGCAGCACATCTATGTAGACTCCAATCCAACAAGGGGTTTCACAGGAAAACAAGGAGCCTGGGAGAGCCCAGGTTCCCACCCACTCCTTCCTCCTGAACCAACACATTAGTCAGGAACTAAGAACATCTCCGCACTCCCAGGGCGGGAGTGCAACTGACGTGATTCTGCCAATACCCCGGGCCCAGTCAGCAACAATCTACAGAGCGTCCAGGTGTCTCCCCATTTGGCCCTCTGCAGCTCGGAGAGATGGTTTCTTTTCCCAGGAGAGAGGACAAGGAGACTCTCAGACCAGAGTTTCAGGTGCAGAGATGGGTGCCCAGTCTCCGGGGACTTTCCCGGAATGGAAGCCGCCTGCTCGAGGCAGCTCCCGGCCGCGGGGTGAGACGAGGCTTCCTCGGACCCACGTGTGTTCTGGGCCGAAGGTGCCAGGCACTGGCCACGTGGATGTGGGGGCAGCAGAGCGTCAACTCCTCTTGCAAGGGGGATCCCGTTGGCCATGTTCCCCTCTTTCCTAGACAAACTAAAAGCTACCTGTGTCTTCCCATTTGTGTACGGAGACACGATCTACTACAACTGCATCTCCAAGCACAGCGACTACCCCTGGTGCTCCCTGGACCATAAATTCCATGGGCGGTGGCGCTACTGCACGGGCCAAGGTGAGTGCCCCGCCCAGGGACTGGCTCGGTGCCTCGGGTCCAAGAAGCGGTTGGAAGTGGCAGGCTACGCAGTTTGGGGCATTGGGTAAAATGGAGTCCGATCCTGGCTTTTCTACCTGTTCTAACCACTTTGACAGTAGTTGGGTGCAGGAGAGACAGCAGGCACTGTTAGTTCCACAATGTCAGCCATAAAACTTTCTTTTATTATTGTTGTTGTTGTTGTTGTTGTTATTATTATTATTATTATTATTATTATTATTATTCCTAGAGGCCCAGTGCACGAAATTCATGCACGGGTGGGGTCCCTCTGCCTGGCTGGCGATTGGGGCCAATCAGGGCCCCAATTTGGGGCAGATGGGGGCCGCTGGCCAGGGAGGAACTGGGGGAGGGACCATGGGAGGGCTCCAGGGAGTATCCGGCCCCATCTTGCTGAGTCATGATCAGCTGGACCCCAGCAGCAAGCTAACCTACTGATTGGAGTGTCTGCCCTCTGGTGGTCAGTGCACATCAGAGAGACGAATCAGTCAACCACTCAGCTGGACACTTAGCATATTAAGCTTCTATTTTAATTTTTTTAAATATATTTTATTGATTTTTTTACAGAGAGGAAGGGAGAGAGATGGAGAGATAGAAATGTCGATGAGAGAGAAACACCGATCAGCTGCCTCTTGCACACCCGCTACCGGGGATGTGCCTGCAACCAATGTACATGCCCTTGACCGGAATCGAACCCGGGACCTTTCAGTCCACAGACCGATGCTCTACCACTGAGCCAAACCAGTTTGGGCAGCATATTAAGCTTTTATATATATAGATTTCTTAATCCTCACCTGAGGATATTTTTTTCATTGATTTTTTTTTTTAGAGAAACACGTGTGTGTGTGTGTGTGTGTGTGTGTGTGTGTGTTTTAAATATTTTTATTGATTTCAGAGAGGAAGGGAGAGTGAGAAGGAGAGAGAGATAGAAACATCAAAGGTGAAAGAAACTAATTAGCTGCGTCCTGCCTGCCCCTTACTGGGGATGGATTCCGCAGCGTGAGCATGGGCCCTTGATTGGAATCGAACGAGGGACCTTTCAGTCTACCGGCTGACGCTTTATCCATTGAGCCAAACCAGTCAGGGCTTTCCACTGATTTTATTTTATTTTTATTTTATTTTATTTTATTTTTGAGAAAGTGGAGGGGAGGCAGGGGGGGGGGGAATATTGATGTGAGAGACACACATTCACACAGCCTGGAATTGAGGTATGTGCCCTTGATTAAGAATCGAACCCGTGCCGAAACCAGTTTGGCTCAGCGGTAGAGCATCAGTCTGTGGACTGAAAGGTCCCGGGTTCGATTCCGGTCAAGGGCATGTATGTCGGTTGCGGGCACATCCTCGGTAGGGGGTGTGCAAGAGGCAGCTGGTTGATGTTTCTCTCTCATCGATGTTTCTAGCTCTCTATCCCTCTCCCTTCCTCTCTGTAAAAAAAAAAAACCAATAAAAAATATTAAAAAATAAAATACAATAAAAAATCAATAAAATATATTACAAAAAAAAAAAGAAAAAAGAATCGAACCCGTGAGCCTTGGGTCCGCGGGCTAACTCTCTAACCACTGAGAAAGCGGGCCATGGCCACCGCGAGGCTTTCTATGCTCGCGTTTCTCCTTCTGCTCCTCTCTTTCTCCGCAGACCCCCCCATGTGTGTCTTCCCTTTCCGCTACCGAAGTAGATCCTTCCAGAACTGCACCAAGAAGGGCTACATCTTTCAGCGGAGTTGGTGCTCACTGACCAGCAATTACGATCAGGATGGGAAATGGAAGCAGTGCTCTCCTTACGAGTATGGTGGTGGGGAGGGAAGGAGGGGATTGTCTTAGACATCTCTCCTTTTTTAATTTTTTATTTTATTGATTTTTCACAGAGAGGGATAGAGAGTTAGAAACATCGATGAGAGAGATCATCGACCAGCTGCCTCCTGCACACCCCCTACTGGGGATGTGCCTACAACCAAGGTACATGCCCTTGACCGGAATTGAACCCGGGACCTTTCAGTCTACAGGCCGACGCTCTATCCACTGAGCCAAACCAGTCCCAGCTTAGACATCTCTTAAAGTGGGGAACCCTCTGGATTGATGGAGAGGGGGGCTGAGGTCTTGATGGCCTGCGGATGGCTCAGGCCAGGGGTCAGCAAGCATGTCTGTAGGGGCCCCACGGTAAGTCTTTGCGGCTTCGGAGGCTGTACGGTCCCTCACAGACTCAACTCCGCCTCGTGGCACAAAAGCAGCCACACACAGCGATTTAAAAACAAAACAAAAGCAGCCGAAACCGGTGTGGCTCAGTGGATAGAGCGTCGGCCTGTGGACTGAAAGGTACCGGGTTCGATTCTGGTCAAGTGCATGTAGCTTGGGCACATCCCTGGTAGCGGGTGTGCAAGAGGCAGCTGATCGATGATTCTCTCTCATCGATGTTTCTAGCTCTCTATCCCTCTCCCTTCCTCTCTATAAAAAAAAAAAAAAAATCAATAAAAATATATTAAAAAATAAATAAAAAAATAGCCGAGACCAGTTTGGCTCAGTGGATAGAGCATCGGCCTGTGAACTGAAAGGTCCCAGGTTCGATTCCTGTCAAGTGCAGGTAGCTTGGTTGTGGGCACATCCCTGGTAGGGGGTGTGCAAGAGGCAGCTGATCGATGATTCTCTCTCATCGATGTTTCTAACTCTCTATCCCTCTCTCTTCCTCTCTGTAAGAAATCAATAAAATATATTTTAAAAAGAAAAAAGAAAAAGAAAAAAACTGCCCCGGACAGAGTTGCTTAGAGGTTAAGAGCATGAACCGAAGGTTCTTGGGTTCAAGTCCGGTCAAGGACACGTACCTGGGTGGCAGGTTTCCCTGCAGCAGGCAACCGATGGATGTGGGTCTCCCACTCAACGTTTCTCTGTCTCCTCTTTCCCCCTCCCCACTCCCTTCCACTCTCTAAAACCAATGGGGGCAGGGGGAATATCCTCCAGTGAGGATTAACCAAAAAAATCCAAAACAAAACAAAACAAACAAATAAACAAACGTGACTGTGTTCCTATAAGACTGTACCAACAGACCCTGACATGTCAACCTCGTGTCATTGTCAGGCATCGCAAAATATTTCTCGTCTCTTGATTTCTGTTTTTGTCAACCACTTAGAAATGAGAAAACCACTAGTCCATGGGCCATACAGAGACGGACAGGGTGAGGGTTGGATTCGGCCTCTGGGCTCTGGTTTGCTGGCCCCTGACTTTGAATGATCTGTCCTTGACCCCACACATTTCCCCTCACCCTTGCGTTTTCCCTTTTCTCACTCTCTTTTTTTTCCTCTCCCCTTTAATTTCCCATTTTTTTAAAATTTACATTTTATCTTTAAAATATATATATATATATATATATATATATATATGTATATATATATATATTTTTTTTTTTTAAAGAGAGGAAGAGAGAGGGATAGAGAGTTAGAAACATCAATGAGAGAGAATTATTGATAGCTGCCTCCTGCACATCCCACACTGGGGATGTGCCCGCAACCAAGGTACATGCCCTTTACGGAATCGAACCTGGGACCTTTCAGTTTGCAGGCCGACGCTCTATCCACTGAGCCAAACCAAGCTTGGCTCATGTTAGTTCTTGGGGGAAAGCCAGATCTCCCACTGGGGACAGGTCATCCTGGAAGATGGAGACGGATCCTGACCCTCACCTCTGTTTTTCTTCCACAGTGTATAGCAAGTCTTGGTGTTCACGAAAGGACAGAAGTTACAGGACTCACCAGCTGCCTCTCAACATAGATCTTTTCCCGGATCATTCTGACCAATAAAGATTTGATCTCTCTCCCACATGGATGACTCCTTCTCTGAAACCAGGCACAGCTGAAGAAGCTCGGTGGTCATCAATGGCCTCCTTGGCCCCAGGGGCGGGGGCCAGCAGGGCATCTGTAGAAAAGGACTTGCCTTCAAATCAAGGTCCTGGTGAATCGCTGACAGTATCCTCTTTGGCAAGTGAACTCAATTCTCAAAGAAACTCCAGCTTCCCCTCACACAGTTCTTGACATTTTAAATTAAGCATAATGCGCGCTTTTAATTGTTCGAGGTAACATGCATGACATACAACGAGCTACTTTAAAGATAAGAAACGTAGTGGTATTGAGCACAGTTGCAAAGTTGTGCAAACATCGCCTTTACTTCCAAAATGTCCTGGCCGGGTAGAGCAGTTGGTGAGAGCATCATCCTGAGATGCCAAGGTTGTGGGTTGATTCCCAGTCAGGGCACATAGCTAGGTTGTGGGTTCAATGACAGGTCAATCTGGGCACATATAGGAGGCAACTAATCAATGCCTGTCTGTCTGTCTGTCTCCACCTCTCTCTCTCTTCCCCTCCCTCCCTCCCTCCCTCCCTCCATCCCTCCCTCCCTCCCTCCCTCCTTCCCTCCCTCCCTCCCTCCCTTCCTCCTTCCCTCCCTCCCTCCTTCCCTTCCTCCTTCTCTCTAAAAAAATCAATACCTGTGGGTGAGGATTAAAAAAAAAAGAATCTATAATAACAATAATATGCAAATTTTCCCAACAACCAAACAGCAGAATGACCATTCTGACAACCTTCCAGATGACCATGCTATGACACCCCCTGGTGCCAGGCCATCCAGGGCAGGTGCAATGGGATTGGTTGGGGCCTGGCCATCGCCCCATAACCACCCCACAGAGGGAAGCCCAGGCCACTGGCCAGTGGGGTGATCAATCAGTTGGGGGGGCTCCATGATCGCCCCAAAGAGGGAGGCCCAGGCTCTCCCATGGCGGTGCTGTGGTGGGTGGCAGGGCCTGCCTCTGTGGGGGCAAACCATCGCAGAGCCCGGCTAGGTAGGCAGGACCTACATCTTTGGGGCGAGCGATCATGGGGCTCCTGAACTGTGAGAGGGCACAGGCCAGGCTGAGGGGGCCCCCCCCCCAAGTGCACACATTTTATGCACTGGAACTCTAGTAAATAAATAAAAGAATAACACTAGAACAAACTGTTTCATGTACCCACAACTGTAAACCTACTTTGCCCACCCTATAAATAACACACACACAACACACACATTACAGACACTCAGGATTTTCACATATAACACAGAAAACACCACATGTAACATTCAACACCCTCCACATAACTGACACACAAGAAGACACACGTCCCATGTGTCCACACACTACACACGCATCCATACGCGTAACACATACAAATACCACAGACAGCATACACTCTTGCACAGAAAAAATGTATGACAGTACACACCCACACGCATGCGTGTGTACAACACCCTACCTCACAGTTGTAAAACATGCACACACACAACATACACATACACAACAGACACATCTCACACACACAAAATATATCCACACACTCCATACACACAAAATCCTACCTAATAAAATAGTAGTAAAATGCGAATTGACCATCGGAGCTTATGCTCTGGTGGGAGAGGCAGACCAAGCAGCTAAGCAAAGGGGACACACAGTGTGACAAGGGGGCCCAGGCTAAGGGGAACCGCGAGGCAGTGAGAGGGACAGGGAGGGGGGAGGGGAAGGTGGGCAGGCTTAGCTGGGGTGGATCAGTGAATAGAGCCTTGCTCTTTGGACTGAGGGGTCCCAGGTTCGATTTCGGCCAAGGGCACATGTTCAGGTTGTGGGCTTGATCCCCAGGAGGGGTCGTCGTGAAGAAGGCAGCTGATCAATGATTCTCTCTCATCGTTGATGTTTCTATCTCTCTCTCCCTCTCCCTTCCTCTCTGAAATCAATAAAGAAATAAAAAAGAGACTAGGGGTGGGCCTGGGTGCCAGCTGTGGGAGAGGAGAAGCGATGGGACCTCGGAGAGATTCTGAATATCAAGCTCACAGGATTTGCTGCTGGTGGACATGAAGCAACGGGGAACGAGAGGAGTCAAGAACAAGCCCGAGGGCTTTAGCCTGAGCTACTCAAAGGCCATAGGAACCACGAGCTGAGGTGAGAAGATTGGGGAGAGGTCTGTGCAGGGGCAGAAACAGGCCCACTTAAAAAAAAAAAAAAATATATATATATATATATATATATATATATATATATATATATATATATATATATATAAAATTGATTTTTCACAAAGAGGAAGAGAGAGGGATAAAGAGTCAGAAACACCGATGATAGAGAAACATTGATCAGCTGCCTCTTGCACACCCCACACGGGGGATGTGCCTGCAACCAGGGTACATGCCCTTGTCGGAAATCGAACCTGGGCAGTTCGCAGGCCGACGCTCTGTCCACTGAGCCAAACCGGTTTGGCCAGGCCCTCTTTTATACGGGTTACGTATCAGGGAGATAGAGACGAAGGGTTACAGGCATTGACTTTCTCCTCTTTCCCCTCCTCTGTTGCTCTCACCTCTTTCCTTCCTATTTCAGTCGTTAAACCAAACATATCGATTCTGTTCTTTCTATGCTGATCCATGGGTGGGACCCTTGATGGGAAGGCAGCCGTGGCTCTCAGAGCTCACAGCTGCTCGGTGCGAGGAAAACACAGAGTCCTAAGTGCTGCTGGGACAGGAGAGGGTTTGGGAAACCCAAAGGTCACTTCCCCTGCCTCTTCTCACCGGTCAGCGGGACATGGGAAGGTTCATTGTGAGAGGTAGTGTCCACCATGAGGTCTGAAGGCCCAGTACGTTCGCTGGGGAGAGCTGACTCAGGGAGGAGCCTTCCAGAGAAGGAAAAGGACAGGGAGTGGCTCTGAGGCCAGAGGGAACACGAATTGAAGTAGGATTTTTCTCCTGGATTGAGCGTAGGAGTGGTGGAGGGGCGAGTGGTGGGGCTGGAGGAGTCTGCCAGGGCCACATTGTGAGTGAGTGTGTCAGTGAAGAGCTTTGTCCTAAGGATACTGGGAGCCAGGGGAGGTCCTCTGCAAGGGAGAGGGAGCCTTGGGAAGACCCCTCTGGCTGCTGTGGGGAGGGTTTGAGGCTGGGGTGGGGGGAATGAGGAGGGAGCAGATGAGGCATCCTGGTGGCTGTGGGCTTAGGATGGGGAGAAATGAACAGCTTTTCAAAGGTTTGACATTGAAACTGGGTCTCAAAAGAACTGGTGGCCCAGGAAAAAGCTCACTACAGATGATGCATATGCCTTCCAGCATAACCATTATGGCTTGTCTCTTTTTCGGTTCTTTTTTTATTTTTATTTTATTGATATTTTACAGAGAGGAAGGGAGAGAGATAGAGAGCTAGAAACGTCGATGAGAGAGAAACATTGACCAACTGCCTCTTGCACACCCCCTATCTGGGATGTGCCCGCAACCAAGGTACATGCCCTTGACCGGAATCGAACCTGGGACCTTTCAGTCCGCAGACCGACGCTCTACCACTGAGCCAAACCGGTTTCAGCTCGTTTTCGGTTCTTATAAGTATTTTTCCAGTAGGACATGATCTCACTCGTCGAGGGGAAATGGTGAACAACATAGACTGATGAACAAGAACAGACCCAGAGACGAGGAGCCATGGGTCAGACTGTCGGACCTCAGAGGGAGGGTGGGGATAAAAGGGAGAGATCAACCAAAGGACTTGTGTGGACACATATGAGCCTAACCAGTGGTCAAGGACAATAAGGGAGTGGGGGCATAAGTGGGGTGGGATGGGGGATTAAATGGGGGGTTGAGGACAAATATGTGATACCTTAATCAATAAAAATTAATAATTAAAAAAAAAGGATATTTAGCCAGGGGCAGGGGCAGGATTTTCCTCCTTTCCTGAAATGTTCCAACTAGGAAATATTTTTAAAAATTTGTTTTTATTGATTTAAGAGAGGAAGAGAGAGAGAGATAGAAACATCAATAATGAGATAGAATCACTGATCGGCTGCCTCCTACACACCCCCTTGGGGATCAAGCCTGCAACCCGGGCATGTGCTCTTGGCTGGGAATCGAACCTGCGACCATTCAGTCTGAAGGCCGACGCTCTGTCCACTGAGTGAACCAGCCAGGGCCGAACCAGAAACACTTTGCATCCTTCTTTCCCAGTCGTTTACATTCATGCAAACAGGACAAGACTCAAACTCTTCGTTTGCATGAGAAGTCCAGCAGCCTTCTCATCTCTTTCCTGCATGGACGTTGGGAAGATGGCCACAAGCTCCTTACAGAGAAAATCCACAAGTATCTCTCCCTTGGAGAACACACACACGGAAAACTGAATATTGTAGCAGAGCCTCGCGCGGTTAAGTAAGAAATCCCACCAGAATTATAACCATTTTTTGAACTTCGGGACTGTGTTCACAAGACACAGAAGAGACAACGAAAGCACAAGAGGTTAAGAGCAGTGTGTCAGGTCCAGGCCCTGATTCTCCTGGCCCAGGCCCCCAGGGGTCGCTGTCTGCGGGGCCCACTGCTGGCATTGCCATAGGGATCCTGCTTGTCAGCGACCTGTCCCCAGGCTGGGCTGTGTCCTCTCCATCAGAAATTCCAGAGGACCCAGTATCACCACCATTTGTCCACCATCCAGAACTGAAATATCATGGCTGGCATGCACACATAAGGAAATATCATGGCTGGCATGCACACATATTGAAATCGGGACTCAAAAGAACTGTTGGCCCAGAAAGAAACTCACCACAGACTGATTCATTTGCCTCTCAGCATAACCATTATTTCTTGTCTCATTTTCGGTTCTTATAATATCACATGAGCTCACGCATCTAGGGGAAATGATGAACAACATAAACTGATGAATAAGAACAGCATTGCCGAAAGCGGTTTGGCTCAGTGGATAGAGCGTCGGCCTGTGGACTGAAAGGTCCCAGGTTCAATTCCGGTCAAGGGCATATACGTTGGATGCGGGCACATCCCCAGTGGGGGGTGTGCAGGAGGCAGCTGATCAATATTTCTCTTTTGATGTTTCTAACCCTCTATCCCTCTCTTTCTTCCTCTCTGTAAAAAATCAATAAAGTATATTAAAAAAAAAAAGAACAGCATCAATCAGACTGTCAGACCTCAGAGGGAAGGTAGGAGAGGGTGGGGATAAAGGAGAGAGATCAACCAAAGGACTTGTGTGCATGCATATGAGCCTCACCAGTGGACATGGACAATAAGGAGGTGGGGGCATGCATGGGGAGGGGTTTGGTATGGGAATGGGGGGGGGGTGATGACAAATATGTGCTACCTTAATCAATAAAGTAATTTTTTTTAAAGAGAAATTCCAGATAGTAAAGCTAGGAAGGAGTTTGGGGCGTGGTCTTCCCAGGCCTGCCTAGCAGGAGTGTTGCTGACCATGGTGCTGAGCGGTGTCCCTGGCACCTGGGGAATTCAGAGAGTGGGGCATTGCCTGAGAATGGATGCGGGATACGGGCAGAGCCTGTGGAGATGGGAAGGACGAGATGCACAGAAGAATGAGGGCCTTGGGGTTTCAGGTCCTCAGGGAAGATAGCAGAGGGCCCACCCATGAGGTCATGCACCCTGCACGGCCCAGTTCCGGTAAGTGACTGTAACATGCCCAGAGCAGCGGGGAGGGGCAACCAGCTTGTCTCTGAGGGAAGAAGAAGAAGAAGAGGAGGAGGAGGAGAAGGAGGAGGAGGAGGAGAAGGAGGAGGAGGAGGAGGAGGAGGAGGAGGAGAAGGAGGAGGAGGAGGAGGAGGAGGAGAAGGAGGAGGAGGAGGAGGAGGAAGAGGAGGAGGAGGAGGAGGAGGAGGAGAAAGAGGAGCCAGCCAGGAAACAAATGGCTCGGGCAGAAATCCACATAGGGTTCCGATTGGAGGGGAGTCATGAGAAAGGGCGCAGATACAATGACATCAAGAGAAGGAGGCATTTCTGTTGGTGCAGATAAGGGGACAGAGCAGTGTTAATGCTAAAAAACGTTTCAGCCGAAACCAGTTTGGCTCAGTGGATAGAGCCTCGGCCTGTGGACTGAGGGGCCCCAGGTTCGATTCTGGTCAAGGGCATGTACCTTGGTTGCGGGCACATCCCCAGTAGGAGGTGTGCAGGAGTCAGCTAGCTGATCAGTGTCTCTCTCTCATCAATGTTTCTAACTCTCTATCCCTCTCCTTTCCTCTCTGTAAAAAAAAAAAATAATAATAATATATATATATATATATATAATATATATATATATTATTTTTTTTAATAAAAATATGTTTCAGGTGGTCAGCCACGTAGTCACCAATCAGTCCAGTAGCCAGAGGTATCACATTGCCTCCTTGTTTTTTTATTTTTTTTTTGTTTGTTTTTAATATATTTTATTGATTTTGTACAGAGAGGAAGGGAGAGAGATAGAGAGCTAGAAACATCGATGAGAGAGAGTCATCGATCAGCTGCCTCTTGCACACCCCCTACTGGGGATGTGCCCGCAACCAAGGTACATGCCCTTGACCGGAATCGAACCCAGGTCCCTTCAGTCCCCAAGCCGACGCTCTATCCATTAAGCCACACTGGTTTCGGCACTGACTCCTTGTTATTTTGCAAACAGTGCTGTGGGCACAGTGTGGCCTTCGTCCCAGCCCAGAGGTCACCTGGCCCCGTTTTAGCATTCCAGAGGTTTGGGGGATCAAATGTTCAAGGCACTTCCTCTGCGATGGCAGCTCTGGCTGCTCTTTATGTGTTGTTTACTTGAGTTGAATTTATTGGGGTGACCTTGGTTAATACAATCATGCAAGTTTCAGGGGTACAGTTCTATAACACCTCATCTGTATGTTGTATTGTGTGTTCACCACCCCAAGTGAAGTCTCCTTCCATCACCCCCTCTCCCCTCTTCTACCTCCCTTGCCCTCATTTCACTCTGGTAATCATCATATTGTTGTCTGTCTATGAGGGTATTTTTAAAAAAATGTTTTTATTGACTTTTTAAAAAATATTTTTAATTGATTTTTTACAGAGAGGAAGGAAGAGGGATAGAGAGTTAGAAACATCGATGAGAGAGAGACATCAATCAGCTGCCTCCAGCACACCCCCACTGGGGATGTGCCCGCAACCAAGATACATGCCCTTGACTGGAATTGAACCTGGGACCCTTCATTCCGCAGGACAAAGCTCTATCCACTGAGCCAAACCAGTTTCGGACGCAGTTGTTGTTTTTTGCTTAATCCCTTCACCTTTTATCCCAAGCTCCACTCCATTCTCCCCTCTGACAGCTGTTAGTCTGTCCTCTGTATCTATGAATCTACTATTTTGTTTTGTTTGTTGCTATGGCTACATTTTAAGGTGTCTCTATTTTTTAAAATATTTTTTATTTATTTTTCACAGCGAGGAAGAGAGAGGGATAGAGAATTAGAAACACTGATGAGAGAGAAATATCAATCAGCTGCCTCCTGCACACTCCCTACGGAGTAGGTGCCCTTGATCAGTATTGAACATGGGATTCTTGAGTCTGCAGGCTGATGCTCTATCCACTGAGCCAAACCAGTTAGGGCAACTGAACGTTTTTAATTCACCCACATTTCTACTGTGAGCTTGTTGTTGAATTCCTGGTTCTCTCCCAAGAATTCAAACTCAGATTACCCAACAGTGTTCTCTGAATGACTTCACAGTTGCTCAATATCATCAACCATGTGGTCACCTATCAGCTACACTATCTGCTTCTCTCTATCAGCAGGCAACTCCCCAACACACTGGAGAGGTTAATGATTGCTCTGGCTTTACTATAAAAGGTGATCTCGCCACAGCTGCCTCTAACTGTGGCTGCGGCTGGGACTCTGACACCGGGCACACAGAGCGCTCCTGGTGATGTCAGACGGGTATGTGTGGTTTGAAGGCATACCGTTCCCGCTGGTGGACTACACACCTGAACACCTGAGAGCAATGCAGAATTTTGTGTTTAAGGATGAAGATGTCTTAACAGTGTCTTTCCCCAAATCAGGTAAGGACACAGGACCAGATTCGGAGACTGGCTGGGCCCAGTCCCTCAGCCATTCACTAGGTGCATGGAGAGTTTTCTCTTTGCCAGCCAAGGCACAAGGCTTTGGGGGCACATAGCTGGGCCCAGATACCAACGATTTCCAGAGAAGAGGAGGCAGCCAGGCAGTTACACAGGAGGATGAGTGTTTGGAGGGGGTAATGGAACATCTTAGGGGGGAACTAATAGGAACAAATCCTAAAGCAGATTCAGGTGCTTCTAAGGAGAAGTGAAGGTGATGAACAGTGACGCCCTTACAGAAAAAATAGAAGGAAAAGTGCCCTGGCTGGTGCTACTCACGGGTGAGAGCATCAGCTCAAGCACTGAAGGGTCTCAGGTTTGATTCCTGGTCAAGGGCACCTATCTTGGTTGCAGGTTTGATACTGGTTTCAGTTGGAGCAAGTGCTGGAGGCAATTCTCTCATATCAATGACTCTCTCTCTCTCTCTCTCTCTCTTTCTCTCTCTCTCTCTCCCTCCCTCCCTCCCTCCCTCCCTCCCTCCCTCTAGTCTAAACCTATCCTCAAGTGAGAATTTAAAAATAAAAAGAATACCCTGGTCAGTGTGGCTCAGTTGGATGAACATTGTTCCATGCACCAAGAGGTTGGAGTCCCAGTCAGCACACATGCCCGGGTTGCAGACTCGATCCCCAATGCAGGAGGCAGCTGATTGATCTTTCCCTCTCATTGATGTTTCTCTCTCTCTCCCAAATCAAGGGAAAAAAAATATTTTAAAAAGGAAAAGAAAAAAAAAGCCTGACAAATTCAAGGGAATGAAAAGATATGAACTGTATTTCTATGGGACAGCATCTTGGGCAAGGACTGAGGCTGAAGATGTTGGAAAAGGCCTGGTTGTGAAAAGTCAAGGGCAATGGGAACATGTTCAAAGGATTTAGGCAAATGCCCTTTGGCAGATGAGTGTATAACCAAAGCATGGTATATACACCGAACGGAATGTTATTCAGCCTAAAAAGGAATCAAGTTCTGACACACGATGTGTCACGGATGAACTGTGAGGACATCGTGCTAAGTGAAATAAGCCAGTCACAGAAGGAGAAATATTGTACAACCCACTTCCATGAGCTGTGCAGAGTAATCAAGCTCTAAAAGAGAAAGTAGGGTGGAGGTTGCCAGGGACTGGAGGGAGGGGAAATGGAGAGTTGTTGCTTAATGGGGACAGAGTTTCAGTTTTGCCAGATGAGAAAGTTCTGGAGATGGGTTGCATAACAGTGTAACTGTATCTGGAGATGGGTTGCATAACAGTGTAAAGCTAGTGAACTGTGCACTCAAACATGGTCAGCCCTGGCTGGGTGGCTCAGTTGGTTAGAGCATCATCCCCGTACACTAAGGTTGCAGGTTCGATCCCCGGTCAGGGCACATGCAAGCATCAGCCAATGAATGCGTAAAAAAGTAGAACACTAAATAAATGTTTCCTTTCTTCTGTTAGGCTTTCTGAGGTAGGATTTTCGTTCGGTCTTCGCTCTTCTTGGCTTCTCCTTTCGGTTCTTCGCCTTCTTCGTCTCCTTCTCCGGTCCTGTGCCTTCTCTTCTCCTTCTGGTTCTCCTTCGCCTTGATCGCCTTCTTTCTCCGTCTCCTTCTCCGTCTTATCTCCGGCTTTCTCCTTCTCTGCCCTTTCTCCTTCTCCTGCTCCTGTCCTTACCGTCTCTCCTTCTCCTTGCCTTTCCTTCCTGTTTCTCCTTCTCCGTCTACTTCTCCTTCTCCTCCTCCTCCTCCTCCTCCTCCTCCTCCTCCTCCTCCTCCTCCTCCTCCTCCTCTTTCTTTTCTTTCTCCTCCTCCTCCTCCTCTCCTCTTCTCCCTTCTCCTGCTCCTCCTCTTCCTCCTCCTCCCCCTCTTCCTTCTCCTTCTTCTCTCTAAATTTATTCAATAAATAAAAAAATTTAAAATAGAGAGTAGTTAAGAGGGTGCAGTTTATGTTGCATTTTATTTTATTTATTTATTAAAAATATATTTTATTGATTTTGTACAGAGAGGAAGGGAGAGAGATAGAGAGAGTCATCGATCAGCTGCCTCTTGCATACCCCCTACTGGGGATATGCCCGCAACCAAGGTACATGCCCTTGACCGGAATCAAACCCGGGACCCTTCAGTCCCCAAGCCGACGCTCTATCCATTGAGCCAAACCGGTCCCGGCTATGTTGCATTTTATCACACTGTTTTTAAAAGACAGATTATAAGAATGAGTGACCACCCTTTTTTTCCTTTTTTATCCAGGAACCAACTGGTTGATTGAAATCCTCTGCCTGATCTACTCCAAGGGGGATCCCACGTGGGTCCAATCTGTGCCCATCTGGGAGCGCTCTCCCTGGGTGGAGAACACGCGTGGGTACCAAATCCTAAAGGATAAGGAAGGCCCACGCCTCATCACCTCCCACGTCCCCATCCACCTCTTCCCCAAGTCTATCTTCAAGTCCAAGACCAAGGTCAGTGCACAATGGTCGAGATGGGTTTGATGACTGCTTTCCCAACGTCACCCGGAGACCTGGCTGAGCTGCCATGCCACCCAGTAGGTCTGGGGTGGGGCCGAGAGTGCACATTTGGGCAAGGCCATGGCCCAGACTTGAGCTAGATGCAAAGCGAAATGGTCATGCCAGGATCTCAGAAAACCACGTTTTAAACCCACATCTCTCTCACCTGTGGGATAGGAACCCGAGGCTTCTAATTTATAACTAGGAGACTCCCCTTTTGTTGCTCTAAAAAATAATTAGCCGACCTTAATTAAATAAATGCCTCCTGCCACTTCGGTAGAAGCAGCAGACACAGAGTTGGCCATGAAGGAAGCAGGAAATTCACAATTCAAGGCTGAGTCCGGGGTGATTGCTCAGGCATCACGACTGATTGTTTTACCAACCGCTGTCTATTGGGCATCATGATTGCTGTGTCTTCCTATGTCTAGCTGTCTGTTGGGCTTAGCAGCCACACGAATCTCTCATGGGCTGGATGATCACCAGAAGGGATGTGGAAATCCAGGACCTAGCATATCTCAGATGGCTTTTAGAAGCACCCCTTCCTGGAAGGTGCTCATCGGTTTGTGATTTTAAAATATGTTTTATGCTCAAATCAGTCTTCGAAGCTTAGAATAATGTTCCCTCCTCTTGCAGAGTTCACAATGTGTGACAGCACCATGAAGCTTTTCTAATAAAAATTTTTATTTTTCAATTGCAGTTGCTAGTCAATAGTTTCAGGTGCACAGCATGGTGGTTAGACATTTGTATAACGTATGAAACGATGCCCACTGAGTCTAGCACTCACCTGGCACCAAGCACATTTCTACAATATTTCGACTATCTATACCCTTTGCTGTGTACTTCACATCCTCAAAGAAATCTAAAACACTAATTTGAAAAGACATATGTATCCTTGTGTTCATTGCAGCATTATTTACAATAGCCGAGACATGGAAGCAACCCAGGTGTCCTTCAATAGGCAATTGGATAAAGGAAATGAAGTGTTTAAAAAAACAACCTGTCACTTCTCAAGCTTGTTTATGACACACTGGTTATAAATAGTGTTAAGCCGAAACCGGTTTGGCTCAGTGGATAGAGCGTCAGTCTGTGGAATGAAGGGTCCCAGGTTCGATTCCGGTCAAGGGCATGTACATTGGTTGTGGGCACATCCCCAGTGCAGGGTGTGCAGGAGGCAGCTGGTTGATGTTTCTCTCTCATCGATGTTTCTAGCTCTCTATCCCTCTCCCTTCCTCTCTGTAATAAAATCAATAAAATATATAAAAATAAATAAATAGTGTTAAGCACATTTGCATTGTGATTTCTCTGTGTTTGTTAAGTCCCCATGTGGGGAAACTGAGGCCTGGGGAGAGCTGGGGCCTGGGATCACATCACAGATAAAGTTGGTGCCGAATCCGGATTCTTGCGCCTGTGTGCCTGCGTGTGTACCAACCTTGCCTATGTCCACAGCTGCGTGGCTACCTCCCAGATACAGATGTAGCATATTGTTACTCCCCCACAAAATTCCTTCACTCGCTTCCCAGTCAATGCCCATCCACGGCGGCGACCACCCGCTGACTTCTGACTCCATCGATTAGTTTGCTCGTCCTCCAACGTCACTTAAATACACTTACACCATTCAAATGTCTGCTGAGTGTCTGTGAATGCAGCACAATTTCTTAGTCCTTCCTCCTCTTAGTAATCTTCAAACGATAGAAAATAAATATAATACCACTCACCTTTCAAAGCCTCCGGTTGCTTCCCAAGGTGTGTAGACATAGTGTCCCAGAAGGACGGGATGATGCTTTCTTCCTCCATTAGTATCTTCTTTTTTTAAAAAATATATTTTATTGATTTTTTTTTTTTTTTTTTTTTTTTTTTTTTTTTTTTTTTTTTTTTTTTTACAGAGAGGAAGAGAGAGGGATAGAGAGCCAGAAACATTGATAGGAGGGAAACATCGATCAGCTGCCTCCTGCATACCTCCCCACTAGGAATATGCCCACAACCAAGGTACATGACCTTGACCGGAATCGAACCTGGGACCCTTCAGTCCGCAGGTCAAAGCTCTATCCACTGAGCCAAACAGGTTTTGGCCCATTAGTATATTCTTGATAATATCCCAGGACCTTTAAAATATGTATTTGAGTAACGAATGCAATAACTTATTAAAAGAATCCATTGAGCCTTAGCCAGTGTGGCTCAGTGGTTGAGAGTCAGTTGACCGATGAGCCAGGAGGTCACAGTTTGATTCCTGGTCAAGGCTCATGCCAGGTTGCAGGCTCAATCCCCAGTAGGGGGCGTGCAGGAGGCAGCTGATCAATGATTCTCTCTCATCATTAATGTTTCTGTCTCTCCCTCGCCCTCTATCTGGAAACAATGAACATATATTTTTTAAAAAGAACCCATTGAGCCTTAGCTAATTGCTCAGTGGTTAGAGCAAATCTCGAAAAGGTCGCAGATTCCATTCCAGTCAAGGGCATGTGCCTCAGTTGCGGGCTTGATCTCTGTCCCTGGTCGGGGCATGTGCGGGAGGCAACCAATTAACGTGATTCTCTCACATCAACGTTTTTCTCTTCCTGTCCCTCCTCTTCCCTCCCACTCTCTCTAAAGGTCAATGGAAAAATATCCTCGGGTGAAGATTAGCAAAAATAAATAAATAAAATAATAATAATAATAATAATAATAATAAAGAACCTATTGATAATTAATAGTAATTTTCTAGAAATTGGCTTTTCCCCCCCCCCTCCATCTTTATGAAGATGAGAAGGATAGGAAACTATCATCCCACTTTTCTCTTTCAGGTGATCTACCTGATCCGAAATCCCAGGGATATTCTCGTGTCTGGTTATTTTTTCTGGATTATTTCAAGGTTCGTGAAGAGGCCAGAGTCGCTGGAACAATATTTCGAATGGTTCATCCAAGGACACGGTGAGTAAAAAAAAATATGTAAAATACGCCGAAACCGGTGTGGCTCAGTGGATAGAGCATCGGTCTGCGGACTGAAAGGTCCCGGTTCGATTCCGGTCAAGGGCATGTGCATTGGTTGCGGGCACATCCCCGGTGGGGGGTGTGCAGGAGGCATCTGGTCAATGATTTTCTCTCATCGATGTTTCTAACTTTCTATCTCCTCTCTTCCCTTCTGTAAAAAATCAATAAAATGTACTTTTTTTAAATATGTAAAATATGGCAGCTGGGGATTGTCCGAGTTCTTCGTCAGATCTCCCGGCACAGCCCACCTGTGGGACTGGGCCCATCCCCATACGAACCCACGGCTTCTAACTCCACGGCTTCTCTCCAATCAGAACCCAGCCGGCCTTGCAGCTTGCCCCTCCCCGCGTCCCAGCTGTCTGATACTAATACGGAGCACTCAGCTTCTTCTCCTCTCTCTTCCCATGTGTAGTTTTCTAAGAGTCAGCTTTTCATTGGCCTGAACAACACAAGCCTGACTTGCCACCATTTTTAAAAATATATAATTTTTATTGATTTTTTTACAGAGAGGAAGGGAGAGGGATAGAGAGTTAGAAACATCGATGAGAGAGAAACATCGACCAGCTGCCTCCTGCACACCCCCTACTGGGGATGTGCCCACAACCAAGGTACAACATGCCCTTGGCCAGAATCGAACCTGGGACCTTTCAGACTGCAGGCAGATGCTCTATCCACTGAGCCAAACAGGTTTCGGCTTGCCGCCATTTTTTCAGAGGCATCCTTATCCAACTCCCCTTATCCTTTTGTCCTATGGGTCTCCAAAGTGTACCAGGGTATGTGTCACCCTTGGATCTCCATCTTTTTCATTGTGCAGAGTCTCTAGGCTTTCTCAGATAAGTGAGATTTGACACTTTCCCCCCAAAACTGTATGATGAGTCCCATAGTTCAGCAGTGACACATCTTCCTGGCTTCAGACCTGTTTCTCTGAAGCCTTTGGACATCTGCCTGGAGAACCACAGGTACCTCTGGTTCATATGTTCGACACAGAACGCATTGCCCCCAATGGCTCCCACTGCATATGTATCTCATTAGATAAGTAGAACCGCCAAAACCGGTGTGGCTCAGTGGAGAGAACGGCGGCCTGCGGACTGAAGGGTCCTGGGTTCGATTCCAGTCAAGGGCATGGACCTTGGTTGCGGGCACATCCCCAGGTTGGGGTGTACAGGAGGCAGCTGATCAATGTTTCTCTGTCATCAATGTTTCTAACTCTCTATCCCTTTCTCTTCCTCTCTGTAAAAAATCAATAAAATATCTTCCTCTCTGTAAAAAATCAATCAATCAATCAATCAATCAATCAATAAAACCACCTCACACTCAAGGGCATGAGTCTGACATCCACAAGTGTCATGTTTTTCCCGCCTCCCTTCCCCAGGCTCCTCACCTATTTCCTTTACTCAGATCCCATAACCCTGAGTAAAGTCTTCACCCTGGTCTCTGCTAAAATGCCTCCATATTTAAAGAAATCTCCCTTTCCACACCATATAAAATAGCCCCCTCCCCATTTCTATACTACTATTTTTCCCCCCTTAGTACTCATCACCAATGAGTATGTATTCTTTTTTAAAAATATATATTTTGTTGATTTTTTTTTACAGAGAGGAAAGGAGAGAGATAGAGTTAGAAACATCGATGGGAGAGAAACATCGGTCAGCTGCCTCTTGCACACCTTCTACTGGGGATGTGCCCACCACCCAGGTACATGCCCTTGGCTGGAATCGAACCTGGGACCTTTCAGTCCGCAGGCTGACGCTCTATCCACTGAGCCAAACCGGTTTTGGCCAGTGAGTATGTATTCTGACTATTTGTTCGCCCTGAGTAAAATGTGAGCTCTTTGGGTTGTTCATTGTTGACCTCAGGTCCTCCAGTGGTGCTTGCCACACTGTAAGCAGCTAACACACCTCCGCTGAATAATGAGTGTTTATTTGCGATCCCTGTCACTATTACTCCCCACCTGGATTCATGGGACAGACTTGGTGGTGTCCTCGCCTGCATGCCCTTTGGTCCTTCTAGGCTATGTGGCAATCCCCTATTACGTGTGGACAAGTACACATTCCCTGAAGTGTTTGCCCTCGCTCGGCATGAAGGTCAATCTTCAAAGTCCACGGTCGTATTTCTTGTCCAGCTGGTCCTGGCTGAGCTCGTCACCCCCATCTCCTGCTTTGCTTCAGGTTACTCTTTCAGAAAAAAAGAAAAAGGAAAAAAAAAAAGAAAAAAGGCAATAGTGAAACCCAATGGTGCAAGCCAGAGAAAAGGGGCATTGGAGACAGGAGCAGGGCGTTAGCCTGGGATGAGCCCATTGCTGCCCTGGCTGCAAGTCTCCTGGGGACCCTTGGAGCTTAAGAGATGCAGGCCTGCCGAAACTGGTTTGGCTCAATAGATAGAGCGTCGGCTTGGGGACTGAAAGGTCCCGGGTTTGATTCCGGTCAAGGGCATGTACCTTGGTTGCAGGCACATCCCCAGTGGGGGGTGTGCAAGAGGCAGCTGATTGATGACTCTCTCTCATCGATGTTTCTAACTCTCTATCTCTCTCCCTTCCTTTCTGTACAAAATCAATAATATATATATATATATATATATATATATATATATATATATATATATATTTTTTTTTTTTTTTTTTTTTTTTTTTTTTTTTAAAGAGAGAGAGAGATGCAGGCCTGTGGTGGGGAAGAAAAAGGGGAGAAGGGAAGGGAAAGGCACAGGCATGCTTCTGGGAGGGAGAGTGAGCCTCCACTCTTTTTTGGACAAATTTCTTTTTCTTTTCTTTTTTCTTTTTTTAAAATATATTTTATTGATTTTTTACAGAGAGGGAGAGAGAGGGAGAGAGAGTCAGAAACATCAATGAGAGAGAATCATCGATCAGCTGCCTCTTGCATACCCCCTACCGGGGATGTGCCCTCAACCCAGGTATATGTCCCTGACCGGAATCGAACCCGGGACCTTTCAGTCTGCAGGCCGATGCTCTATCCACTGAGCCAAACCGGTCTCGGCTTTTGGACACATTTCATTTCTTCTTAGATTATGACATCTTTATGTTACTTTAGGGGCCTGGTGCATGAAATTTGTGCACTGAGTGAGGGGATGTCCCTCAGCCCAGCCAGAGCCCTCTCACAGCCTGGGAGCCCTTGGGGGACGTCTGACTGGCGGCTTAGGCCCGCGCATCCTGTCGCTGCCTCGGGAGAGGCTCCGGCCACTGCTGCTGTGCTCGCCAGCTGTGAGCCCAGCTTCTGGCTATGGGAGTGCACTGACCACTGGGGGAGGGGGGAAGAGGGGCAGCTCCTGCATTGAGTGTGTGCCCCCTGGTGTTCAGTGCACATCATAGAGACTGGTCATTCTGTTGTTCAGTTGATTTGCATATTACTCTTTTATTATATAAGATTTTCCAGTTGTTTGTACCTGATTTTGGGGGGGGAGGGGGGGATGTAACTTATTTTAAATGTTGATCTGAATAAACTCTAGTCTTAATTCTAACTTTGGTTTTCTAGGAAGCATAATTATAACCTTCAAGTAATGACTATTATCTTCATTTCTAATTACCTGTCTATTGCTTTTATTTTTTTCTGTCTTATCTCCTTGGCCAGGGCTCTGGGACAATATTGAATAGCAGTGCATCCCATGGTGTATAATTCTTTCAATATACTCTTGTACTCAAGTTGATAATGTGTGTCCTTATCCCCTCATTACACCCCCTCAATATCCTCCAACTCATTCCCTCACCCCTGTTGTCTGTGTCCATTGGTTAGGCATATATGCATGCATACAAGTCCTTTGGTTGATCTCTCCAAGTTGATAATATTTTGTTCAAGATTTTTAAAAATGTTTTTATTATTGATTTTATAGAGAGGGAGGAAGGGAAAGGGGAGAGAGAGGTAAAAAAACATCCATGTGAGAGGGTAACATTGATCTGCTTCCTCTGGCGTGCCCCTAACCAGTGATCAAGCCCATAACCTGGGGAACTGAACCAGCGACCTCTCAGTGTACGGGATGACACTCAACCCACTGAGCAACATTGGCCGGCGCTATGCTCATTTTTGAGTGATAGATTAACTGAGTAGAATTCTCAGTTGGTAATTCCCCAGTACACTTTGGGTCTAAGAAGGGGTTAGGCATGGTAGGCAGCCATTAAAAAGTATAAAATAGTTAAGATATAGAAGGCAGAGTGAGAAGATTTAAAGGCGGTTTTCAAGGGGACTTGCCTGAGAATTTCCTGCATTGATGACATCTCAGATTGAAGAACCACACCAAGCTTTACAAAGAATTATGACAAAGAATTATGACAATGAAATCTTCACCTGGTCTCTAAGAAAGCTGCAGTGGGGCAAAAGGAACGAAGATCTTAAACCAAAGAAAAGGCAGATAATTTTCAAAGGAACAATAATTACAACAGCAAGAAGACAACCCAAAGTTCTCCATGGTGAACAGATTTGTGGCAGCAAGAATACCATTCTTGTTAGGCCACACGGCTCTGGCGAGATCTACTTAGAGACTCTTGAAAATGGGGTACAGCCTTGGCTGGTAACTCAGTTGGTTGGAGCATTCCTCCTGATACACCAAAGTTGTGGGTTCAATCCCCAGACAGGGTACATACAAAAGGCAATGAAGGAAAGCATAAATAAATGGTACAACAAATCTCTCTCTCTCACTCTCACACACACTCTCTCTCTTCCTGTCTTTTCCCTCCCAAACCCACTACCACTCTAGAAATAAATTCTCAGGTGGGGATTAGTGAAAAGAAGAAGAAAAGAAAACTCAGTACAGTCCCAGCCAGGTAGCTCAGTTGATTGGAGCATTATCCTGATTCACAAAGCGGTGGGTTCAATCCCTGGTCCAGGCACATACAAGTGTCAACCAAGGAGGCCAGTGTGGCACCGTTGGTGGAGTGTTGTCTGTGCACCAAGAGGTTGCTGGTTCAATTCTAGGTCAAGGCACAGGCCACAATTGCAGGCTTGATCCCTAGTAGGCGTTGTGCAGGAGACAGCCAATCAATATTCTCTCTTTCTCCCTCTCCCTCTAAACACACACACACACACACACACACACACACACACACACAAAGAAAGAAAGAAAAAAAGAAAACACACACACACATCATTAAGCCGGGACCAGTCTGGCTCAGTGGATAGAGTGTCGGCTTGCGGACTGAAAAGTCCCGAGTTCGATTCCAATCAAGGGCATGTACCTTAGTTGCGGGCACATCCCCAGTGGGGGGTGTGTGCAAGAGGCAGCTGGTCGATGTTTCTCTCTCATCGAGGTCTAACTCTCTGTCCCTCTCAGTTCCTCTCTGTGTAAAATCAATAAAAAAATATATATTTTTTTAAAAAAACACATTAAAAAAATAAAGAATCAACCAACGAGTACACGAATAAGTAGAACAACAGATATCTCTCTCTCTCCCTCCTTTCCTTTGTCTCTCTAAAATCAATTTCAAAACCTTTTTTAAAATAGAAAAACTGGGTAGAGTCTGCTCTAAATGAACTAGGCTTATACAAGGTAAATGCCTGGTGTTGGATGATAATTTTCCATCTCTGCACTCATTATTCATTCAGCAAATAGTTACGTGCCACACATTGTGTAAGCAAGTATGTCCACAAGATTGAACATAGCAGCCGGGTCCCTGCTGTCACAGTCTGTAACCCCCGGCTCTCTCTGCCTCCCCCACTCAGTGGCATTTGGGTCATGGTTTGACCACACCCGTGGCTGGATGTCCATGAGAGGACAGGAGAACGTTTTGATAGTGAGTTACGAAGAGCTGAAACAGGTAACTATTGCTCCTGTGGTTAGCACACCGTCTTATCGTCTTCCCTTCCTTTAATTTTCATCTACTCCTCTGTGCCTCTAGTCCACCTTCTCAGCCAAAGTAAAGCCTTGGGAGGGGTCCTTAGGAGTGAACGAAGCCCCCTCGTCTCCATTGTCCCACTTCTGGTTGGCACCTCCAAATGCCATGCTCTACTTCCTCATGTGTTCTTTGTTTCCTCCGATACCTTTTTATTTAATGTTTGCATTGATTTTAGCAAGAAAAGGAAGGGAGAGAAAAAGAGGAACATGGACTGGTTGCCTCCCGCATACACCCCAACTGGGGACTGAACCCGCAACCTTGACATTTGCTCTTTCGTTTCACCTTCTTCCCTTTCTACATCCTGATCACATTCAACTCAGCACTCTCATTTCTGTGGCTGTTCCTCTCTCCCTCTCCCTCCACCTTCTGCTCCGCATCCTGCCATTCGTTCCCTCCTTCTCATCTCCCTGTCTGTGCCCTTTGTCTTTCATACCCTTTCTTTTGCTCTTTCTTCTTCTTCTTCTTCTTCTTCTTCTTCTTCTTCTTCTTCTTCTTCTTCTTCTTCTTCTTCTAGGACACAAGAAGTGCTGTTCTGAAGATCTGCCACTTCCTGGGCAAGACATTAGAGCCAGAAGAGCTGAGCTCACTCCTCACACACAGCTCCTTCCAGGTCATGAAGGAAAACAAGATGTCCAACTACACGCTCCTGCGCGGCTGGCTCATCGAGGATAAGAATGGGTCACTTATGAGAAAAGGTAGGAGAAGATGGTCCGGCTTCAGGAGGTCTCAGAATATGTAGAGGGCCGAAATCGGTTTGGCTCAATGGATAGAGCGTCGGCTTGGGGACTGAAGGGTCCCGAGTTCGATTCCGGTCAAGGGCATGTACCTTGGTTGCGGGCACATCCCCAGTAGAGGGTGTGCAAGAGGCAGCTGATTGATGATTCTCTCTCATCGATGTTTCTAACTCTCTATCTCTCTCCCTTCCTCTCTGTACAAAATCAATAAAATATATTTTTTTTTAAAAAGAAAAGAATACGTAGAGGGTATTCTTGTGGTTGCAGCAGGACACTAGCAGGTGGGACTAGGGAGTGTTTGAACGTATCAAACTTTAGCTCTCATCACCTAGAGAACGTCTCTCATGCTCTTACCAGGGAGTCTCAATTCAGAGTCCTGATGTGGGCTGCAGACACTTGGCCTTTCTGCTGTGATAGCTGCGATTTCCATGTCAAGGAGGCAGAGGAACAGGTCCAGAAGAAGATGTATTGGGGTCTTGGGACCTACTGCTACATCTGACATGAGTCTCTGTTTTATGTTTGCCAGGCATTTCTGGAGACTGGAAAAATCACTTCACAGTGGCCCAAGCTGAAGCCTTTGACAGAATATTCCGGGAGAAGATGGCAGACCTCCCTCCAGAGCTGTTCCCATGGGAATAATGCTCAGAGATGTCTAGAGCTCACAGAGATAAATATTTGTTCTCCTGCCTGTGTACATGAGAAGGACTGGTGACAAGTGCCTAAAACCTGTTACTTCATCCTGGAGCTTTGAATTATCACATTTCTGAACTTTGATGACGTCACTATTAAAAATTACTAGGGTGGCTCAGTGGTCCAGCGTCAACCTATAACCCAGGAGGTCACCACTGGTTCCTGGCCAGGGCACATGCCTAGGGTTTGGGCTCGATTCCCAGTAGGGGGTGTGCAGGAAGCAGCTGATCAATGATACTCATCATTGATGTTTGTCTTGCTCCCTCTCTCTTTCTGCTCTGAAATCAATAAAATAAAATATAAAAAAAAATTACCAGGGTAGTTACCAGTATCTCTAATTCTCTGAACGGCATCCCAGCTTTTAAAAATATTTAATGCAGCCGAAACCGGTTTGGCTCAGTGGATAGAGCATCGGACTGTGGACTGAAAGGTCCCGGGTTCGATTCCGGTCAAGGGCATGTACCTTGGTTTCGGGCACATCCCCAGCAGGGGGTGTGCAAGAGGCAGCTGATTTATGATTCCCTCTAATCGATGTTTCTAACTCTCTATCCCTCTCTCTTCCTCTGTAAAAAATCAATAAAATATATTTAATGCATAAAATATATATACGTAATGCAATAAAATATATAGAATGCAAGTATTACCCAAAAGCTATGCCACATTTTTTTTTATAAAAATGAAAAATAAAATGATAGAAATTAGGTATCTTCCCAATTGGTTATTAACATCATGACCTTGCAGTATATAATTCCTAGCCTCACATTATTCTCTTACTATGTGGCATTTTATCATAAACAATATGTGGTACTTATGGAGGATTTTAAATCTTAAATAACTGGCCTACTGTTTATATGCATTCATCAACTAACATTTGTACTCGGTATCTTAGACGTGGTTTTCACCCAGGTTGCTTATATAACTGGTTTTCTATTTAGTATGGAGACATGTTTTAGTGATCCCTTCTCCTGGGGGTGAATCTGGGTTCCTTCACTACCAAGTTTCCCCTGTTTAAAACACTGCCGCGGCCTAGCTTTGGGCTCTATCCTGGAACACGCCCGACAATGAATGGGTAAAGGAAATGTGATCTCAACAGCAGTGGAGGATGATCGAGCCTTCGAGAGAGAAATTCTGCTCGTTGCGACAGCGTGAATGAACCTGGAGGCCACCACGCTGAGTGAAATAAGCCAGGCAGGAGTAAATAGTGCGCGGTTCCACTTAGGCGAGGAATCTGAAAGCCAAACTGGTGGAAAGAGATTAGCATGGTGGTTGCCCAGGGCTGGGGGAGGGATAATGGGAGTTGCTGTTCAAAAGGTACAAACGAGCTGAAACCGGTTTGGCTCAGTGGATAGAGCTTCGGCTTGCAGACTGGAAGGTCCCAGGTTCGATTCAGGTCAAGGGCATGTACCTTGGTTGCGGGCACATCCCCAGTAGGGGGTGTGCAAGAAGCAGCTGATCAATGATTCTCATCGATGTTTCTAACTCTCTATCCCTCTCTCTTCCTCTCTGTAAAAAAATCAATTATATATATATATATATATATATATATATATATATATATATATATATATATATATATATTTTTTTTAAAGGTACAAACTTCCAGTCATACAAGATGAAAACTTGTAGAAACCGCGGCTGTACCGTGTTGTGCATTTCCAATCTGTTAAGATGGTAGATTTCATGTTAAGCGTTTCTGTGCTCACATAGAGTCTTTGATTGGGCGATGGCACCAACATTTACTTGGTTCGTTACATGGTTTATGGGCATTTGGGGAGTTTCTAGTTTGGGCTCATAATCCGTAATGCACGTTAGGATGTGCCTTTTCGTATGTCTCCTGGTGAACATTGCTGCTGGGTAGGTGCCCAGGCGGGCTCATAAAGCCGTGTGTGCGTCAGGGTTTGTTCACTGTTGCAAACCAAAGGGGTTGTTTCCATTTAGATTCCCACCTGCCGCGGTTCCGAATGTTTGCACGTCAGCATGTCCCAGCTGTTTGGGTTTTAGCTTTAAATGATACCGGTGGAAACAAATACTATTTAGGATAATGTCACCTCCGCGTCTTTGCTCTGCTCTTCTCCTGCTTAAATGTGGAACAGCTCTCTCCCATCTCACCTAAGGTCTCCAGCTCTGGAGTAGTGGTGTGTTGGTGCCCCCTGCTGGCCGGAAGACATCACAACAGGTATATGGACACCCAGTCTCTCTCCCAGTCCTATGAATGAACCCCATGTTTGATCTGACCCAACTGTGTCTCTTGCACGTTGTTTACTGTGATAACAATTTTAAAATGGCATTAGTTTAAGGTTATTTAATGTTAGGCTTTTTATTTAGAGGAATTCAAGTATAGAGTCAAACAATAGTTTTAAAAAAAATTTTTTACAAGCAAAATTATGGGCAGATACTGTATTCATTTACTATAAAAACAACGGTGACCATTTAAAAATATTTCTTTTGCCCTAACTGGTTTGGCTCAGTGGATAGAGCGTCGGCCTGCGGACTGAAGGGTCCCGGGTTCGATTCCGGGCAAGGGCATGTACCTTGGTTGTGGGCACATCCCCAGTGGGAGGTGTGCAGGAGGCAGCTGATCAATGTTTCTCTCTCATCGATGCTTCTATCTCTCTATTCTTCTCCCTTCCTCTCTTTAAAAGAACCAATAAAATATATTTTTTAAATATTTTATTTTTATAGCACCTGATTTTTTTTTTTTTTAGGTGGATTAAGATACAGTGAGTTTGAATTTTCTTTTCACAAAATAAAGTCTATGCCTGGTCTCAATAATGACAGCAACATATTATCTGAGTCCACCTACTCCTCAGCAGAAATTTGATCGAGATTTACACCTTAGAATCCCTATGGAGCTTTTTGTTGTTGATACTTATCACCTGAGGATAGTTTTCCCATTGATTTTTAGAGAGTGTAAGGAATTGAGGGGCAAAGAGAGAGAAACCTCTATGTGTGGGACACATTGATCGGTTGCCTCCCACAAACACCCCAACTGGGGTATGGGGTTGAACCTGCAACCCAGGTACATGACCTTGACTGGGAATCCAACCTGCGTCCCTTCAGTGCTTGGGACAATGCTCTAACCACTAATCCACACCAGTCAGGGTCCCTTAGGAGCTTTAAATACACTGGTGCCCAAATCCCACACCCGGAGACACTGCTTATCTAGCCAGGTGCATAAGAATGTTAAAACTCCAGGTGATCGCCCCAGCTCGGCTCAGTGGATAGAGCATTGGCCTGTGGACTGAAGGGTCCTGGGTTCAATTCTGATCAATGGCACACCCCCAAGTTGTGGACTTGATCTCCAGTAGGGAGCGTGCAGGAGGCAGCAGGTCAATGATTCTCTCTCATCATTCATGTTTCTATCTCTCTCCCCCTCCCTTCTTCTCCGAAAAAAAAAAAAAATCCTATATAATGAAAGGCTAATATGCAAATAAACCCAAAGGCAGAACAATGGGAACAACTGAACAACCAGTTGCTATGATGGGCACTGACCACCAGGGGCCATGTGCAGAACATGGCAGGTGTCAGCCATGGTGGGATGATGGAGCAGGTGAGCAGGGGCACCAGATCAAGGGGGGTGCCAGTCACTGCCATCAGGGCGAGCCTCTGGTGGTTACTGAAAATTCTTTGCTTCCACGCACCTCAGTCTTGCCTAGCGCTTGCACCTGCTGCTGGTGTGGGCCCCACTCGCTGTGTGCCATGTTTGAGCAGTGACTGCCAACCCCAATGGCCTCTCAGGGCTTCTCCACCTCCCCCTGCTCTTGAGGGGAGATCAGGACCGGCAGCCGCCTCTTGCACCTGCTGCTGGCATGGTCCCACTCACATCCGCTGCCAGTGCTGGAGCTGCTGCTTGCACCCACTGCCGGTGCCCAGAGCTGGTCCCGATCACTCGGCGTCATCAGCAGGTGTGAGCAATGTCTGCTGACCCTGATTCCCCTTGAAGGCTTCTCACCTCCTCCTACTCCTGAGTGGAAATCAGGGCTGCAGCTGCCACTTGCACCTGCTGACAGTGCCAGCTCAATCACTTCATGCCATTAGTAGGTGCAAGCAGGGTTGCTGCCATCAGCACGTGGGAGCAGGGCTGCCAGCAGACAGGGGACTGGGGCCGCATTGGGAGGGGCCAGGCGGGGGCACAGAGGATGGGCCAAGACCGGCCCTTGTTCCCTCAGCAGCCTCGTGGCCCACAGTTCCTTTCAAGGTGCACGAATGCATGCACTGGGCCCCTCGTTAAATTATAAAAGTAAAACGGAACTCCAGGTGGCAAAGTTTGAGAACCATGGGACTGGGATGAAGCAGGTGGCTACACCGAGAGGTTCCCTGCAGGGCATAGCCTGTAGGGAGCTGACGTGCCCTGGCAGACCCGGAGTCTGGGGGAGCCAGGGCACATGTCTGGGTGCAGGGAGGGCTCCTGTGAGCAGACTCCCGGTGAGGTGCATGCCCCACCTTCCCTCTTGCCAGGCCGAGGAACCGGCACCCCTGGGTTGCAGGTGGTGAATCTGTCCGACTTGAGCAATGCTCCATCCTCTGTGCCTCTCAGACTCCCTTGGCTGCTGCTGGGGAACGGCTTACCTGTTCCCTTTTCTCCAATTCCCATCCTTCCATCTTAGAAACAGAGGCCCATAAAAACTAAAACAAGCTGAAACCCGTTTGGCTCAGTGGATAGAGCATCGGCCTGCAGACTGAAAGGTCCCGGGTTCGATTCCAGTCAAGGGCATGTACCTTGGTTGTGGGCACAGCTGACCGATGTTCCTCTCTCATCGACGTTTCTAACTCTCTATCTCTCTCCCTTCCTCTCTGTAAAAAAAAAAATCAATAAAATATATATTTAAAACAACAACAGTAATTCCGTTTCCATTTGCTAATGTCCTTGGATGCTTACAGGACCCCAGGGGCGCCACCCTCCCTGCTCCCTGCCCAGAGTGTGACCCAGAATCTCCCCTCCTGCTTCCTCCCCCACCTCAGCGCCCTCTCCGGAGATAGATGGAAATTTCCATTTCTTCCTGCCCCTCCTGCAGTGCGGGGGGGGGGGGGGGGGGGGGGGGGGAGGGGGTCTGTCTGAATGGAGTTGTGGTTTCAGTGGTTTGAGCCTCAGATAAACAGGAGTGGCCTTCATTCCATCCTGGCGGTCTGTCTTCCCCTCCCCGGCCCCAGCGCCCCCCTCTGGAGCCATTCCCATGAGTACACACACACACACACACACACACACACACACACACACACACCCCGCCAGGCCCCCAAATCGGATCTAATTCTTTCTATTCTGGGGAGGCTGGCAGGGCC